TAGTTGACGTGAAGCTGACTGCTGGTAGGGGACTTAATGTTGGGACTAGTTGGCCGATTCCGTAGTTTTTTCCATGGATTTGAGCAGGACACTTGGGTGACACAGGCTGCTATTCTCAGATCTGCATCGCTCTACTGTCACTGCAGCTTGGGGACGTACTAAAGCCTCGTTCTGCTGCCTCCTTATGGTTCGGGGTCTTGCTTTCGCAGCATCGGATGTGTCCTCCCATTTTCCCCATGGTCTCGTACCACTGTTGAGGTGCTATGTCCAACTGATACAAGGAGAGCGCGGTTAAAACAATATACGAAATGTTTTTGATGAGCTTGTATGAAAATTATGAGTTGTTTGCTTTAACTTCTTGTTGTGATGACTCTAAGCTATGGCAGTCATAGGTCCCTGTCGAACATCAGTGGGGAAGATGTATCCCTTGGACTACTGTAGCTCCACTGAACAATAGAAGAGAAGGGATATTAGTTTACTTTTGGTGTGGTGTATGTTTATTACGACGGCACCGGTAAAATGAAATATCAACGTCCCCCACTGATTACATAACCTACATATTGGACGGTGGATAAAAATGCCACTGTCAAGCAACACAGATTTCTAATTTATTAAGCAATGAGCTACAACTACTGTGAAAAAGCTAGTGAGTGAGTGATATTAACCTGTTGATTTGAAACCCTAACCCACTGAATGGCAGTTGATTGCTGAAGTTAACGAAGTTAGCGCGATTATGATGAAAATCGGAAGAATATGAAATAGACCAGAATATATCATTTTGCAGTAGAATAATTAAAATTCCACAAAAAGAAATTGTCTGTGTAGATTAGTGAAATATAATCTCTTCGGTAGACGACTTACATTTCGCTTCGTATTATTTCATACTCATATATTTAGGAGGATTAAAACATTTTAGTGCAATATTTGAGATTTTATTTATGCATAGGCGAATCTGTGTACTCACGTCTGACATATAAATAAGATGCATGAGACAGGCTTCCAAGAGCAACTTAAACGAACTCTTTAGTTCACACTGTTACACTATCATATATGGCACAGAAGTTGAAAATAAATAGAATGTTGAATACAATTGGTGGATGGTGGCTAGCAGTGGAATCCAGGATGCGCATTTCGTCCTATTTGGGACTCGTCATCTGGATATACCTGCATTTCTCAGTGAGTGATGATGTTCCCAAGACTCGAACTCAGTTCCCATAGTTTCAAACAACAAAGCGTTATCCACTAGACCACTTGGGCCACGAGAGCCACCTCTTGTGCAACGGGTCATATTAATTATTGAATTGAATTTTTGATTTTCCCGTCGATTGATTGGACCGAAGTGCTCGGTCTCAGGTTGACATGTCGGCTTCTTGTGCAGATGCTCCGACCATCCACCAATTGTACACCAATTAAATACCCAGACATCGTCGAAGCATCTGCACAAGAAGCCGACATGTCAACCTGAGACCGAGCACTTCGGTCCAATCAATCGACGGGAAAATCAAAAATCCAATTCAAGAATGTTGAATACCCTGAACTGTGTATTTCCTCTGATCACCTTTCCTGGTCTTCCGACGTCATGTTATTTTCCAAGAAAATATTTCGTTTGACGTTCTACGTAAGGAAGTTAGGACGATCTGGTATCATTCCCTCTCCACCGTTAGTTTTTCTTTTAGTTCTTGTATTCTGCCTATACTTCTTTACTGCTCCCCCTTAGTCATGTAGTAGTCATGCCATGTACAGCTTGATTGCCTAACTAGCACTATTCCAAATATTTCAATTTAACAGAAAGAAATTTAATACAAATTTCTGGGGTTAATTTCTTTAATACAGAAGTCAAAGGCAGTTACAAACAGTTCTCATTAAATGCTTTCATTTTAGTCAGGTATAAGAAATTTTTTTGAAATTCTCTTTCAGCATTTTGTAGTTGTATTTTGCATTAGACTCAATCCATTTATCCGAAAACAGCATCTTGTAAAAACAAGATACTAAAAATCCCAGTTCCCCTTCGCTTAGAATTATAAATTTTATAAATACGAGATAAACATGAAAGGCGGTCGCGAAAAATAGGTATATAGTTTATTACTACTTAGTTGAACTAAGTAGGCTGTAGTGAACGATGCAAAAAATAACTGTCGTACTTTAGAGAAGTGTGAACACACAATCTACTGAAGCTATAGTGGACAACCACTGTAGAGTTGCGAATACTCGATTAATTGGTAGCCTCATCAGAAAATCGTCGTCTCACTAAAACAAAAACGCACTACAAATTCAAGTAAGCACCAGTGATTTATTAGTAGTATTTAGAATAACGGTTAATGCTCCCGTTAAAGTTTAGCACTGGTGTGGTGAGAGCAGGCTGCTAGCCGATTGGTTGGCACTAATCTACGTTAAGGTCTAGGTCACTAATATGGGCCGTGAACAAGCCTGAGTCAACAACCAATCACAGCAACGTTAACGTGGCAAAATATGATTCGCAGAGAGAACTCTATTTGTCAAGGAATCCCGAAACAACCAATCAGAAGCCTGCGTTTGTCTACCTAAACAACCAATCAGATGACTGCGCTTGTCTATAATAATGTTGTCTGAAATATGTATAAATACGTGTTGATTTTCATAATAAAACGATCTGTTGCCTGGCCTTTGTCTTCTGTTGTTACATTTGGTGTCGCTGCCTACCGACAAATGAAAAGCCTATACCCTGCAGTTTTTGATGGAGACATATGGATCTTCGGGCAGGACTTCAAGGCTTCTGCGCAGTTGAGTGGCGTTCAAGATCTGTCAGCGATGGAGCTGCTACTTGAGACGCTGCTGGGAGGTCGGGCGAAAGCAGCATATGAAGGTGTGGGCCGAAGTATGGACGAATGTTCGACAGGGTCAGGCAAACAGTTTCCAAAGTGGGAAGGACCATATATGGTCACTTCGAGATGGGGTTACGCAGACACAGTCGCAATGGCGAACAATGAGAGGCGCGTGAACGTCAGCGAGCTCCAGAAATGGATACAGCGAGACAAGCCAACGATGACGCCTGCACCAAGTAGATCAAGCCGACTTCAGTCGCACGTATTTGACGGGGGGACGAGTGTGGTGAGAGCAGGCTGCTAGCCGATTGGTTGGCACTAATCTACGTTAAGGTCTAGGTCACTAATATGGGCCGTGAACAAGCCTGAGTCAACAACCAATCACAGCAAAGTTAACGTGGCAAAATATGATTCGCAGAGAGAACTCTATTTGTCAAGGAATCCCGAAACAACCAATCAGAAGCCTGCGTTTGTCTACCTAAACAACCAATCAGATGACTGCGCTTGTCTATAATAATGTTGTCTGAAATATGTATAAATACGTGTTGATTTTCATAATAAAACGATCTGTTGCCTGGCCTTTGTCTTCTGTTGTTACACTGGCATCGTGAAATAACAAGAGCTGTTTTCATATCCAAGAATACAAAGTCCTTATGGAGCGATCAAATCGAAAGCCCATCGACAAATCTATTCAACTAAAGAAAAAAACATCTTACAAATGGAAGAAACTTGATGTAGATTTTCTATATGTATTCTCTGATAGCACTACATTGATTGTTAGACTATGATAAGCTATGTATAACACGCATGCTTAATTCCAAATAGCTTTCTTTAAAGCCCAGCAATCATTGTAAAACGCAAGGTTCACTAGCTTCACAACACTTCATACATCGTATCTAAATATTCTTCATGAGGAAAACTTTTCGTCGATGATGCTGCCACCTGAGAGAAGTAGAATGGTGGTTATTACATGAGGCGGCAGTATCATTAGTTCTATGGGATAAACATTTGTTGATTGTCATCACTCCTTCATTTTATCCCACAGATCACACAGTTTGTTGATTCGATATTTTATTACAGATGAAACGTACCACCCAACAAGTAAAAATCAGGTTGTAATTCCAAACAGTGACACTGAAGTAATTCAACTTAAGTTTGTGTACCTGGGTAGTTGTGTGAATACTGGCGGAGGGGTGACGGATGAGATCTCCAACCGTATAATGAAGGCTAGGGTGGCATACATCAACTTGAGCCACCTCTGGCGCCGTCGCGACGTTAGCCTGGCTGTCAAAAGTCGGGTATACAATGCTTCGGTGCGGGTTGTCTTGCTCTACGCCTGTGAAACCTGGCCTCTCCGAGCTGAGGATGAGTGGCGACTCTGCGTGCTCGATCACCGCTGTCTCCGCAGGATTGCTTGCGTTCAATGGCATCATCGCGTGAGTAGATCTAAGGTTCGGCGGCATGTGTTTGAACACAGTGGAGATCACCATTCATTGAGTGTCGTCATCTGGAAGCACCGGCTCCGGTGGCTTGAACATGCGCTGCGAATGTCATCCCAGAGGCTTCCGTACAGTTCTCTGTTCGCTAGCCAGCCCTGGGATGGGATGGAAAAGGCGGAGAGGTGGTCAATCCATGACGTGGCGTCGTGGGATGAAGGATTTTCGTGCTAGATTAGCATCGGTAGGTGTGTCACGACTCCCTGGTCGGGGTCCGCGAGATAGCTCGAATCGACGGCTCGAAACGTTATCAGATATGGCCAAGAATCGTAATTAATGGTGAACGTGTTGCAATTTCCTTCTTTCTTCCCCTCCCGATGATAGTTAACGAATACTGTTTGAACTTGTTAAGCATGACTGTTTTCCTTCCAGATGAAGTTCTTTATCCGTTCTCTGCTTATATTTTTTTCTTTTGATCTATGTTGTTTTATTATTATTGTGTGGCGCATCCTTCTTGGTGCCATATTGTACCAAGTTTTTATGCGTTTAAATAAATAAATAAGCTTAAACTGAAAACATCTAAATGTGACTGATTTCGGCAATCTAAACGGTAATCTATCCCTATAAATATGCTGGTTGATGTATTTCTTGTGGCGCAAACATCTGAAAGGCGAGATGTCACTATTAATGCTACTTCAAATCGGTAGAACAAAATACAACTGAATAATTTCAAAGTAATAGGGTCTAAAAGAAGTTCACTCCTCTCCGTCTTTCCTTTATTTTACATTAATACTACGCATAGTAAAAATATAATTCGATTAACATACAAAGAAAATAAAGATACTTTACAATGTTCAAGCCACTAGAATGCTTATCATCACTGTCAGTCATCATCATCTTCCTCTTCTTCAGCTTGTTCAAGCCAGTCAAGAAAGGGTTTAATCTTTTCCCTTAATGACTTAGTCTTGTCGGCAATATCCTCGTCAAGTAAAAGTGGTGAATTGTCTTTCCACCACCAGATATCATCTTCTAAAACTAAATCACAATCATAGAGTGTATGAATAATAGACATAGAAGAGGCAAATATTAACGGATCATAGCATGCTGCGTCTTCAACAGCTTGAAGATAAATTCGACCAGTATGCTGAAAACCTGACATACACGACGATAAGACACTCTTGAACTTGGACAGAAATTTACGCAAGCTTGTAATGAATTCTACAACACTACTTTTACTGCAATCATTTTGTGCTTCTGAAGAAAGATGATCCCGAGTTAAATCCAATAAGGCCTTTGATAGTAAAAAGCCAAAATCCTCAATGGGCACATTATAAGCATGTTTCAATGAATTCACTTCAAGTATCATAGTTTCAGCAGGATATGAATGTCGTTCACCACGTTCTAAAGTTCGTTTGAATTCAGTAATTATGAATTTTTCTGATTGTTCATCGTCAACATCACTATCGATTTTTGATGTCTCTTTCGACTGACAGTCTACATCTCCATCACTGTCTATTATATCGCTAGTTAAACGACGTGGTTTGCTAGACCTGCCGGAATGCATTTCACTGGTTCGACTGTAACTACGCCTTTGATTCATTTTTTGTCGACGTGTTTTAGCTGCATGCTTAATTCGATCCCAAGCTGTCTCCCATAAGCAAGAGTTTACCAGTGCACTATTTGACGATAAATGTAATGGACTAGATTTTGTATCCTCTCCAGAAAGATTTTCCATGGAACCACTCTGGTACAACAACAAAAAAAAATTAGCAAAATATGTTTAAAAACTCATAAAAAATTGCTATCAAAAGCAACCAGTAAACAATCAAAACAAGCTATGAGTGAAATATTTAAGAAGACATCATATTCACATAGAGCGACTACAGTGCGAAGGCTTAACCTGTATTTTCCTCCTTTAAGCATAACAACTTTGATGGTTATATTCCTTTCCAATTGCTCACATATAAGACTAAGGTCAGTAAGCAGACGAATCAGCTAAACACTAGTTTGACCAGTTAAGTAATATTCTTTTGACTGTGACAATGTGTTGAATGACTGTTTCAATCACCTTACAACTAAATATTCATTGTTTTTAAATCGACTGCAATAACACAACACGAATGATTCTTCTAACCATGAATTCTTGACTTCTCTTCAGCTGATGCTTTAGTTGAATTCGTGAGTATTGCTATCTTGCTTATTTAAGTTGAATACAATTACCAACCGAAAGATATTGTATCATCCAGTCTAGTAGAAACAGAAAATGTGACATACACATAGTCGATGGACCACAGCTGATTATCATGAAGTGAGTTTTTTACAATATGTGAATGTTGCTCAACAACCACTAGCGATTCCAAACAGTTGGCAGTGAACCACACTGCCTATTGTGTGAAGGCTAGTCATACTACCTGGTTGTTTGAACCTCAGTAGATGGAGCGGGATTTAAGCCCATGACCTACTGGTTGAAAGTTGAGTGCCTAAACTAATGCGTAACAGCTCCACAGTTACAAGATACCAATTGGAGTAAAAAGTACATGAAACATAAGTTCACATATTAGTACAGTTCGTTTTAAGGAATAAATCTTTCCTACCTATGAAGCCGAGTGTAAAACTTAGATCTAATCTAAATCCCCTTCGACAATATAAATGCTCTTCTATGTCAGTTCAGTTTCTTTCTCCGTAATCTACTAGGTCGCAGTCAGATGAACTTTGTGGAGATTTTTCTTTATAATAAACTACGTCTGCATATCGTCTCCGAGATTATCAGTTAATAACAATGATTGATATCTACAAATCCATATGGAAGTTGCTTACAGCTAAAGCACATAACAATCGGAAATAACCTACAATTGTTTAAAACTATTCACACTTTACATCAATGATTCAAGGTAGAGGTTAACAATGGTAAAAATCACGAATTAAAAAAAAAAACTAAGAACTGTATGAACATTAAAAGACGAGAAAATATTGTTATATGATATTAAAGTTTAAAAGAAAATAAAGCATCAAAAGTATCTTTGCCACAAAATTCTTAACTTATTCGTATTAACCAACAACTCGTGTGACCTCATGTGTTGGTATAGAATCTTCCGTTTGCCATTCTTAACCCTCTTTTAATCCACTCTTGTGCAACCAGTATTGTACATATAATTCGACCAAAATGATACACTTCTCAATTACATCAAACAATAAAGATTCACTAAATCAACGATTGACTTACTAATTTCCACTAACTATCAATAAAGACTTAACTTAGATATGATGGAGATTTGTAGCTTGGGTGGATGATTTTGGGGTGGTTGTGTTCACTGAGCTGGATAGTTAATTCGCGAAGCTGTCATCGCCCTACTAGGCGACATCTTCAGCGCATACTTCAATTTGAAGTTAGCTTTTAGATTTCTTCACGAGTTTATTAATCATCTCTCCTGGTAACCTTGGATAGGATTGGTTGTTTTTTGTGTGTTTTCACACCTAGGCTACTTGTGTTGGAGCTGATTGTTTCTTTGACTTGAACTTTGACCCTTTATGTGTAAGGTTTCTTTCTTATCGGTTGATAAATTTTGTCTATCTCGATGTGTCTATTGATTGATGATTAGCTGGAATACCAGGCTTCTAAAAATTCTCTAGCATTCTTTTTGTTTCCTGTCTAATATTTGAACACTGTCCCAGCCGAATTGATGTCCGTGGTTATCTGTATGTAGTGACATGAGGAAATGGATGTCTTGTCTTTTAACGGCTAGCTGATGTTCGTGGATACGAAGACGAAGGGAACGTCCACTTTGACCAATGTAGTGTTTTTCGCACTTGTTACAATTTATTTTGTAGATGATGTCGGTTTTTTATCTTCTTTCGTTGTTGTGTCTTTTGGTTGACATAGAACTGAGTGAAGTGATTTTGTCGGTTTGTGTGCGACGTCAATTCCTAACGGTTTGACGAGTCTTGCAGTAATTTCTGAGATATCCTTTATATATGGAAGGGTGATTTTCTTTGTGCTTTCCTTGGGTGCTTTTGGTGTGATAGGTTGCCTTGGAGGTATATGTCTTTTGACGGAATTCCGTGGATTGAAGTATGCGCTGAAGATGTCGCCTAGTAGGGCGATGAAAGCTTTGCAAATTAACTATCCAGCTCAGAGAACACAACCACATCGAAAAGACTTAACTTTGGCAAACTGCAACACATTCGAAATATATTAAAAAGAAATAAGTTCGTATAAAGTCCTCCATTTTTTGATCAAATGTTTATAACAGGATGCGCTAATTAAATTGTTATGCTTAGTTTTTTAATTAACATGCAATACGCCGCATATAGTGACATGAGTGACTACATCACTATAATTTTCAGACAACTTCCGAATGTAAAGGAAACCAAGACATCACACGAAATCACATGATAATGTAATAGCTTATACTCAGTTGCTTTCACAATAGACAAAAATAGTGATTAATGTCACAAAGTGGGGGAGACATGTACGGCTTATGGAGGGTAATCCACTTTCTCGATAAATAATGTAAGCTGAAGTAGGATTTAGGAGTATGAGTCATATAGAGAAAGGTGTATGTTTATGACTGCAGTTTTCAGGATACTACGAGTCAGAAGTTAGAGACTGTTGTTTAAAACCTTTAAAATATTTCACAATGATGCGAATATATTTACTCTTTATAAACTGTAAAGTTATTAATATTTTATTATTTTTTATCTGATGGTTCTTTAATACTCATATTTAATCACTGCACTCTCACTTTACTTCATTTCATTCGATTTGTGTCATACTTCTGCCTTTGCAAATTTGAAATCATTTACATCTACGTGAATTTCGATACTAATCTTTCAGTCTGCCGGTCGATCAATGCCATGATGGATCTATTTTCATATTCGTTTAGTAGGACAGTCGAATACTACCTCTCAGCAAGCCCAACTAATAATAGAAATCATCGGTAACCAAGTTGACGTGTAATGGCAAAGAATAATCAACAAGTTTGTGATCATGATTAGGTTTTTCCGGATACCATCATATTAGCCGTTTGTCTCAACTACAGGAGGAACGGACGAGTATGTCAAGTTGAGAATCGGGAAGGCGAGAAACACATTCATCAACCTGAAACCAATCTGGAAATCTTCGTCACTCAGCATCAACAACAAAATTCGGTAGGATTTTCAATACAAACGTCAAGTCAGTCAGTGTTTCTATACAGATCAGAAACTTGGCGGGAGGGTCACAAAGAATATTTCCAACAGCCTGTTGCAGACATTTATCAACAACTGTCTTCGCTGGATCTATACTGAAGATCAGATGGCCAGGCCGGAAAGAATCACCAACACGAAACTATGGCTGGGAACAAACAAAACAAGAACCAATTGCCAGCCAACAAATATGCAGGAGAAAGTGGAGATGGATTGATGGACACTCGCTGAGGAGGCCGCTGGGTGACATCGCGCCCGCGTCAGGCCATTGCTCGAGTGGAACCAGGCCGAAAGGGAAGCGGCGAGTGGGACGTCAGTGCAAGGGTGACATGGAGGAGATCGTGTGAAGAGGAGTTGAAACAGTATGGACTAACATGGATGAAAGTGAAAAGTACAGCAAAAGACAGAAGCAAGTGAAGACGTGCAGTTGAAGCTCTGTGTTCCACTAGGAACCCAAGGGAACAATAATAATAATAATCATATTAGCCGTGGTGTTATTTCCCAGGAAACTGAGGTGGCTGATAGATCTGACCACTTCGTGTCTCATATTACCAAACGAAGCATAGATGCAACATTTCGCATTTCACAGACCAACAACGCATACTAAATAGTATCAGTCCATGTTCCGAAAACTCTATTGCTAATATTTCATGTATGTTATCATGTATGTATTTAACGGCTAAGGCTTTGGTGGTATTAGATTTTATTTACTATTCATTTAACTAACGCTAATGTAGTATGAAGGTCAGTTGTTGAAAGCACTAGTTATTACGTAATGCTGAAGATCGTAGAAGCAAAAATTTGCAAACATGTAAGTGCTTATTAAGAGTTACAGACTTCACTTATAAAAATGTGGTATAATTTAAGAACACCCTTAAGTGTTTTCAGATTAGAGACCTTCTACTTACTACAGGTAAGTTCTGTTGACTACCTTCACGAAGCGGGAGTGTTCCTCACAAAAGTGATAGGGCGTATGCGAACGTCTGGTATGTACAACTGGAATGGTGGACACACAGGTCTGCCTATGGTGCGGTGCTGGAAAACTCTGATTCCAAGCCTATGGTGTATGCGGGTTCCAGAATCTAAAAGGATCTAAAGGCGTGTGGACCTGTCTCGGTCACCGAAAATCGTGGGAAGGTAGCTCCTAACGCTGCTCTACTGTTTTTTGGATCAAACTCCAAGTGGTGGCGGGTTATGTCCCTTAAGACAATCATCTGCTTTGGTCTACGCGCCCGAGAAGTAATCCAATCATCTCACAAACTCAGTGTGGAGCATCTGTTGGTGCCCATAATGTACCAAGTTTGCGTTTTCAATAATTTAATAAAAGCAACCTTTTACGTGCGGCTTCTTATCTGTTGTCTCGCAACAGATCAATGGGACAGTTTCGCTAGACAGGAATTGAAACTTCAAAATCGTTTGTATTTATTTTTATCTGCTAAATGTCGTGTTATCAGAACGTTTTAGCTCTAAAATCTATTGTATTCAATCCATAGTAATTGTAATTAATACGGTGGTCACCACGTGTCTATCTACTAAATCACTCTGAAAATCATTTCAATCACATATATAGCTTTTTAGACTCCATAAATCGACCACAATGTTTCAAACGCCTACTTTTGAGGTTTATTCTAGTTCCGATCTGTACAAATTTACAATATATTTTACCGATTTCCTTTATTGTTTTGTTGTTTTTCAAGGACTCACTCTGCAGTAGCATGCTCTACGAAGACACAAGTATTTGAGAACCTGTATTCCTAATGTTCACCACATTCAATAACCATGTTTCGCAACCACGCAATGTGACAGAAAAATGCACTTTGCTAAATGTGAGATGAGCACTTTTATGAGTACAATGCATTTTAATCCTGCAGCGTTTTTTATTTTTGATAAGTGTGAAACGGCGTCAAGTATGCTGAAGTTTCGCTCCAGCATTTAGCTGGCTAACTAGATGAGTGATCTTTCAGAAGTCAGGAGCATGTGGCTAAATAAAATATGTGTAGAAAAACACATTCGATGAGTAACATTCATCACCACAATCTTCAATCACTGAACATAACTATAAGAAAAAGAACTACACTTGCTAATGCACTTAATAAGTTTTTTTTATAAATCAGTGAACCGGTATGATTTTTTTTGCGTACAGTTTCGTAACTATGGGGCATTCTCATATAAGTAAAGCTTTAAATTAAGTACAAGCATCGGTTTATAGTTACGGATGCATGACACTTTTAACAAAAAATTTAGAGAAATTGTAACTTACTGTTCCTGATAGCAGTCTTCTCCTATAAAAAGTAGCCCATGTCTGTTTTCCACCAACTGAAGGATCCAAGACTATGTCACCAGAACGAGGTGCCACCAATACGGTATTTTTCGGTAAATTTCCAGATCCTGGGCCTAAAGTCACAGGTGTTGTTGGTGATGGTCCCATGAAACAATTACTGGACAGTTTGAAACCAGATAATATGCGGACATTGGAACACAACCAAGCTACATCTGCTTTCACGTGATCATAAATACGAACATTATCCAAAGCGATAACACGACGTAAACACGCATTTTCGCCTATAAAACAACTATCTCCCAAAACGCAGTCAATCAGGCAAGCATAAGCTGAAACCTCACACTTGGGTCCAATAAAACAAGCCCCAATTAGTCGTGCTGTGTGATGGATTTTTGCCGATGCAGAGACAAAAACTTGTGGACCAACTGCTAAAATTTCAGAATCCAAAGATGATGAGTTAGCATAAAGCGGTGGCAATGAGAAACAAAATCCACCTTGTCGAGACAGAAGTCGGAAATTTAAGTCTATCAAACTACTGAGATCGGGAGCAGCTTGAACTACTATTGGCCCTTTAGGTAATGGTTCAATATGAATAGTATACTCCATAATTTCTTCATTTGTTAGTACTCCATTAACAAGATCATCCATAGTTTCATAATCAAAATTATCCTGAGTAACAGAAAACAAAAGCGACTAAGTTGTAGTGTTTAGATAACTGAGCAAGGTGTGGTATACAAAATCGGCACAAATTTATATTAATTAAAAGTTATGCTAGTATGAATGAACTTCATTTAGTCTACAGTAACATGCTTACCAGACATGCACAATAAAAAAACTAGCATTGTGAACACAAGTGAAAAGCAACAAAGCAGCGGTTGCATAACGTTCCTAGTCAAGGAACCAACTGGATTGTTGAGGAAAATCATAAATGTACTTACATCAAAACATTTACTGAATGCATATGATATTTATCAGGCTATTATTGTAACCAGTTGCACCTAAAACATTGGAGGCTGTCTTGCTTCGCGTGTTTTGTGAAACACGTAAGAAACTGATTTTGGATGAACAGACCGCCTTTTATTCAGGTCGTGGGTGCACTGACTAGGTTTTCACTCTTGGTCATTTTCTACAACCGTATTTGATGATATTATGGCTGTTTCTGACTTGTTGGACAGGGCTGCCCAATGGAAGTGTCTGTTAGAGAAAGATGTCCCTGAGAACTTTGTCAACATCCTGAAATTCTTATATAAAAGCACCTCAGGTACGGTAAGGGTGACCACCAACTATCAACACTGTTTTCAACTAACAATTAGATTAGGTAGGGTTGTTAGACCTCATAATTTCTCCTTAACTTTCCAGTAATGACATTCTAGAGATAACCTAGAGGAATGTACCTGGTGGTAGTGCTATAGATCTACTGCTTGTAGAAAGATTTTTTAACCTTGAGTATGCAGATTATATCGTCTTACTGTGTGTTAGTATACAAACTGCCTTAATCGCACTTAATCAGTAGGCAACGCGTGTTTGCAAGTACAATGTGTACTTTACTGGAACTGCACTCAACCTCGAAGATGAACCGTTAAAAGTAGTGGACAAGTTTGTTTACTGAAGTAGCTGTGTGAACTACGAATTTCATGCTAGTGGCTTCCATACAGATTGCTGTTCGCTAGCTCTGGGACAGTGCAAAAAGGGGGATTGGTGCCGTGGAATGAAGAAAAGTTGTTGGATTAGTGCCTGCTGGTGCACCACGATTCAGTTAATAGAACCCATGAGGTAATTAGAACCAGTGGCTCAGGACGTTATCAGATATAGATCAGAATCAGAATCAATGGCAAACACGCTGCGATTTTCTCCTCTCCTCCCTTTCGGAAAAAAAATGAAGTAATGAACGCTCTTTAAAATACTTTTGACAAGTAAGCTTGCTTATTTTCACCATAAGGTTCTCTAATTATTTTATTTCCTATTCATCTACTGTTTTTTTGGTGTTATGTGGTGCATCTTTTGGCACCCACATAGTACTTAGATTTTGTCTAAATAATAATACTCAATAAACAGTCTTTAAGAAACAACAGATCTTATCTTAAGACAAAAATTTTGTTAAACTAGGATGTGCTGCACATAAAACTAATGATATCAATCATTTATCCAAGCAGAAAGAAGGTAGACATGAGATGATTACCACAAATTTAAGATAATCTCCCAAATCTTCGAGGAACAGCTTCAATCACAAACGTATTTCACCGGCATCTGTTAGGATACTATCCCAATTCGCTTTTGTTTACGACAGAACTCACAAGCGGGATCGCTTTTTATTACAAAATATGTAACATATGGAGGTAATGTTTGATGTTCTCCAGGTTTGGGTATTCGATCAAGGATATTTTATCACCGGTACACACGATATTATTAACATTAATTTCACTGAAAGTTTGAACATATTTGCGCTTTCTTTTCATGTGAATTTCGTCCAGGTGAAATTGAGAATAGAGATGTCTGCTTTCAACCTTGAATACTATTCGAGCTTTTAGAACTAATTATTTGTTGCGACGTAAAGCTCTGCTGTCACTTACTGCTGTGTATCCGATTGTTGATTTACTTGTTTGAATTTCAGTTGACTGTTTTTTCTAATACCTAGCTGGGGTCTTCGAGACGCTAAGAACCAATGGCCACGAGCTGTTGGTGATATAGCTCGAAATAGTTTTAATAGTGCAGATGCATTCACTATTTCTGATTTCCTAGATCCACTGATTTCTATGTTGAAACCAGTCAGTCAGGCAGTAAATCCTCATTATTACCCAAGTAACTTCTTTCTCCTTTACATTTCCATTTGTTATAGCTTTTTATACTACTTATTTCCCCTACCTTTATGCGTCCTTTATAAAGTATGGCAACTTGAACTGCTGAACGTTTGGGAATTCAGTTGAGTTCTACGTGCCTGTTACTTTCGTCATGCTTCTAGTCATTCTCTTGCTGACTTAGAGTGCATACTTACTAAGATAATAGTATCTTCTCGGACACCATTGTGATTTTAATTGTATATTCATAATTGCATCTAATATAGAACTTGATAAGAGTTTCTCTTTTACTTAGAACATGGGAAAAAATCCTATCTTGGCATAAAACACCTTGTATAAAGATGAAACCGTAAGCCGCTTAACTACCAGGTGACATTGCACATATTGACAGAAAATCTTGCAGCTTCTTATAATTACTCATCATGTTTGTTGGTAAATGTTTATCTGGACATTCCTGTCATTAATAATATTGCATTTATTCCAAAGTCACCACCACAAATAAAGTTCACAGAACATTAATACTGGGAAGAGACGTAGGCTGACAAGTTCCATGAAGAATACAAGACGAATCTACACAAAACCATCTACTTATTCTTATAGCATTTTCATTTTCTAACACTAGAAAAATCACACTAAGAAATCTAGGTATTAGGAGAAATTGAAAAAAGTATTTACGTAAGAATTCATCATTACGAAGAGTTTCGTAAAATTAATACTCAGTATAAACAGAACCCTATAAACTTAACATTAGGAAATACAAAAAATCATAACACTAACTTACTTGAAATAACGGTGGTATGTGGTTGCTGCATACAGCCAGCTGAATATCCATTAACTGAGATGACTCAATGACCTCTCCACTTTTCATGACATCGCTTACGAAAATTGGGGAGACTTCACCTTGAGACTCGTGGAAAAGGTTTATTAGACGATTATTATTAGTTCTTGAAAATATAACATTAACTTTAAACTCAGAAGCTTGCACTGGGCTTACCACCTCAGTGAGGGAGGGTAACAGAAGGGTGAGTATGGCATTTGGTATTTTTTCACGCCTCTCCTTATGTTTCTGCACATATTTTGTCAGAGAAACGCCACATATCAGATCGGCAGGAGCCAGTAAGAAGTCTGATACTCCATTAAGAAATTCACTTGACTCAAGATCCCGCATAATATCACCTAAATTGTGACATTTCTCAACATTTCGTACGTGGATCTTCAACCCAGGGAAATAACTATTTAATTTAACTTGCTTTATAAATGTCTGGATTTTCTTATAACTTTTAATGGTATATATAAGGATATTTTTGAACCCATCAGAAGCAAGTGTAGATAGATTAATGTACAGCAGAGGGACATTACCCAATGGAAGTAAACATGGAGGGATGTATTCACTCAACGGATCAAAACGGTTAAACAAAAGATCTGCAATTAATACTGCAGATAGTTCCTTATCCGTCTGCCCGTAAACAGAGGACGCACCATCTGAGGCACCCTTAGGTTTGTTTTTGTTACTCTTCGATTTATTCATTCCAGAGACTAAAAGTAAAATAAAAGTGGAGAGAAATTGAATACAATATATTAGAACAGAACGTTTACGAATGTCTGGCAATACGAAAATAATTATAGATGCAAGTGGACAAAAGAATAAACGAAGGCTTTTGATTTTTGTATCAAGGGGACAGATAAGCATTTTGCTTAGCAAGCCTTGCTTTTGGTTTTGTGGGAAATCATGCACTCTTATAGATGAATCAACATAGAACTTGGCACAGATACGGTTTAGTTAAAGCTGTGGCAAAGCGAAAAGACAATGAATGAGGTATTACAAGAACTTATTGACGCTACAAAGAACAGAAGCATATGGAAAAGGGAATAGACTAATGGAGGGTTTTAGTGTCCAGAATTTCGAAGTTAACTGAAAGGTTTTGAGTCATGCTACCATCAGTCTCTAACCATTGATTCTAAACTCCCATAGGACTAACCGTAAAAACTACATCTACCTATGCGGATTAGATCAACAGTTAAAAACCATCTTGATTGATGTCACGACTCGGTCTGAAAATCCCTAACACTTTTCCCGACTAATTCAACTTCAGCTACCACTGCCCTACAAAGAAGGCGGAGGTTAGGAATGTGTAAAGAAATTCCTAACCATTTATTTTCCGTACCTACGAGTGTACCTATAATTTTATTGTCACTCACCATGCTGCCCCACATTATACGAGGAGCTTAGTGAATAAAAAGCGTTAAATACTTAAGATCTTTTCATCTTTCCTGTTTCCAGTGGTCGTCTCACCTGTACAATAAAACGGGGGTGTTGCTGTATAGTATACATGATAGCACAAAAAACGGTAAAAGTGAGGTAATACCAAGCAAGAGTTCCATAATTGGGTTGAAATTTTTCCAGCAACCACTTCACTGGGGCTGATGCAACATTCCAGATAAGTGAATTTGACTGCATATTTGACGGTTTCACTCACTATCAGTAAGTTAAGTCTGTGCAGATTAAACTTCTGGTATGCTGTATTTGACAGCGGTGAATTTCATACAGAACACCGTAAGATTCGTGTACACCTTACTTTGAGCTGCTTATTTACAATTCATACAAATAGTACACCATCACTAAGTAGAGTTTTATAAATTTACCTTAGATAAATTGTAAAGACGAACTTAATTAATTTAGATAGAAGTCTACGCAAAATATGACATAAATTACGGGTGTAGCCAATGGAATACTTTGATATTAGTAGTAAGAAGCATAGTTCAATGCAAAAAAGTGGAACAACACACAAATGCAGTTACTATTATCTTCCAACCGTCTATCTTTTTGAAAGAGTTTTGCATAACATGCTTTGGCAAAACGAAGTATTTTTGGCACTTAGTGAATCTTTGATGTACTGAACGCTTCAAAAGTATCACTCTTAGTGTTTAATACTTACACTATTTAAAAGCCTGCTTCCTTTCAAGCAAAGACTTCAAAAAGTTCTCATAAATCCGGGTAGTGTGCCTTCTTTTAGTCTCAAATTTTGTATGGAGAGAGATTTCCGCATTTAATGAGTAGACGTTGCTATAGAATGAGAATTTAACTGCAAACAAACATTATTCTACCCCAAAATGTCATAGATATGGTGATGAACTGAGTCTACTTTGATGAGAGACAAATAAAAGTCTCTTTTCAACATACCGATTTCTAATCATTTTACTTTGTCTTCTATAAAATTTACAATAACGTTCTAAAGCATCTACTTTTATTTTAGATTTCAAAAACAACAGAAAACTGGTATTTTAGCGAATTCTTTGACTTTCCTAAACATATCTTGAACATACATCTTTTGTAAAATTATTTTATACACTACACAACCAGATTTTCAAGTTTCTGTGAATTTCGTTTCCACACTCTTTGTGATTAGTATTTATCTTGCATCACACTTGCAAACTTTTGTGTGTATTCTCTGTAATTTCATCCTAGTTATCATTGACCATGTACCGGGATGATCCAGTGCTACTGTCAATAATACAAAATATAATGAGACGATAAAAAAGCATTCACACAGATGAATGGTAAGTATTCATATAATGAGTAACGTAGAACAAATGCGAATCACTCGTTGGAACCCACAGTCCTATTTTATGGGACATTAATCTCACCAAAGGGTTACACAATCGAATATGGGCGACAAAGGTTCCACAACACGAAATCCTGCATGACCACTGAAACAAGTTCTTCAATGTAAGACCCCATTAAGTGTTTTTCATTTTATTTTCCACTTCCAATAAATAGGCTTTCCTAACCAAGTATGAAGATTTCAACAAGCAACTAACCCACAGGATGGCTGAAAATATCAGTTGTCTCTTCGAACATGTTATTACGATTAAACTAGAATATGGACATGTTTGAGCGTACTTAAACTGCTTATTGACTAACCATATGTTGCCAGTAGAATTAGTTACTCAATTCAAATTAATAAGACACTTTTAGGACTGCTGTACACTGAGAATAGCAACCAATCAACCAACGAAGAATAAGCAACTCATGTCACCACAGAAAACACAATTCAAGCAGCTAGAAGAAAAAAGGTTGTCTAAAAGGTGGAAAATTCGAAGAAAGGGGTTCTTACTAATTAACAGATACGCAGAAGCAAAAAAGCTGATGATATATACCCAAGACAGTGAAGATTATAACCCACACTAGATTTATTTTATTTCGATAAAAATAACGTTTCGTTTCGACGATACATTCACCACATATAGGAGGTGAATTATCGTTCTGCCTATCTGTCACCAAAAGAAGATATAGAAAAGGACCCAACCCATTGAGGCGAAATTAAACTAGAGCAGTCACCTCGATAGAATTTACTGCTGATCTTGAGCATGCAAGTGGTCATAGCTGGGCACTACAAGTTGCGAAATCATTGAGGAGACCACCATACGTATTGGTGTTACAGTTTTCCTCTATACTTCTAATTCTGTCCTTCAATCGACAGAGAAATCCCGGTCCTTCTAGAAGACTAGTTATCCTGTCAAGCTTCCCTATATACACGTGGCTACGACTCGTTGTCCAAGGTCATATACCGGATTGCTTCTGTCGTTTAGCTTTTTTATTATTTAAATGGCACAATAACATAGCCAAAGAGGAATGAGAACATAAAACTAAAAAATACTTGTGCGGACATTCACCGGTGCAACAAAATCACTTCAAATCTGTTTGGTATTTGGCTTTCGGAAGACTTTATGTAAAAATTGATAAACGCTAGTAGTGACGATTAATCATCATGATCTGGCAACTATGTGATGTGCATATGCAATGTGGCCTTGAAAACGAATTTCCCACGATCCAATATATCCAATATCGTTTCTCTTTGTCCTCGCCCCTTGATTGTGAGGTATACGTTCCTGATCTTCGGTAAACTTCTGCGTAGCTCGTCCCGCCACTCGACTGTCGTAGCTTTGGTTGGCTCAAAAAGGAGTTGTGGTTTGTAGTATGAGATATGTTAAGACTGTAGTGCACATTGTACCTTTGAACTTTTGTTTAAACTGACTCACCCACGGTGATCCACGTTTTACTCTTTTGAGTTGTGAGTCTTCCGTACGTTCATTGGTTCGCTCTCTTGTTGTGCTCTCTTTCTGCACACTCTCCGAGCCTACCTCCAGTAACGTCTGCAGCTAAGTTGTACAGTCACTTTATTTATTAAATCTGTTATTTAGTTACGTTAAATACAACTCATACTAAGAATTCTTTCCATTGTTAGCTTTTAAACTTTGATTGAGTTAATCAGTACTTACACGTTAGGTAGAGTACTCGTAAAGTCATAAGACGGTGAAGTTTTTAGTAAGTGTGGTGATATCGAAGACTATCTTAAGTCTAGCTTCAACACTTACAAGTGGTGAGCCCGTTTTCACCGTTTTCCGCTATAGTAGCTTAACGTGTTAGCAATTCTTTTTACGTACCGTCTATTTTGTTATTTTTTTTCTTTCACGCACGGTTATAAAGATTTGTTTTGTTTGTGCTTACATTTGTTTTTTTATCACCTTGTTAATATTTTGTCTTGTGTGCAAGATGGCTGATGGGGGGTCATCAAGCTTTGACGCGGTGGCCCATATTGCCAAGCTATACGAGGAGATCTGTAGTATACGACAGGAGATGAACTCCAGGAGTCGTGCACGCAGCCCCTAAAGTTCGCGCAGTAGTAGACCCTTGCCACGTGCTAGCAGCAAGCGCCGACAGTCCCGAAGTAACCAGCCTGGAGTGTGCTGGTATCATCGACGTTACGGAGCAAAAGCCCAAAAGTGCACTCGCCCGTGCACCTTCGATGTTCAACAATCGAATAACTAGCAAGCCAGCACGTACTGGCGACTAACGTCGCTGGCGAACCGCTCTCATGTCGCCTCTTCTATGTTACTGACCGTAACACTGGGATACGCTTCCTAATTGATACCGGAGCAGAGGTCAGTGTAATCCCACCCATAGTAGAGGAGCGCAGGCGGCCAATATCTCTTCAACTACGAGCCGCAAATGGTTCGCCAATTGCTACGTTCGGCAGGCGCTTTCTTGACCTGAATATTGGCTTGCGCCGAGCATTCCGCTGGATCTTTCTGGTAGCGGACGTGACCACAGGTATCATCGGTATGGATCTGCTACAGCATTACCAACTACTCGTAGATACAGGTAAGCACAGGTTGATAGATTCAGCCACCAACCTCTCGATTAACGGTATCGCCACCAAGTGCCCAGCCCTCAGCCCTGTATATGCCACACCCATTAGTACTGGTCCTTATTCGCATACACTGCAATCTTTTTCGGATTTGTTCAAACCTAGCAGCGGCCTGCCATGTGCGACTTCCAACGTCACACACCATATTGTCACTACTGGTCCGCCAGTTTTCGCAAAACCGAGACGACTATCCCCAGAAAAACTAAAGGTTGTTAAAGCGGAGTTTGAGCATATGCTAGAAATGGGGATTATTAGGCCATCCAGCAGCCCGTGGTCCTCACCGTTGCACCTGGTACCTAAGAATAACGGTTTAGATTGGCGTCCTTGTGGCGACTACCGCAGACTAAACGCACAAACTGTTCCCGATCGCTACCCTGTCCCTCACATACACGATTTAACCGCCTCACTCAAGGGAGCTCGAGTATTCAGCAAACTGGACCTTACACGGGCTTACTACCAGATTCCCGTCGACCCCGAGGATATACCTAAGACTGCTGTGATTACACCGTTTGGCCTGTTCGAGTTTCTTCGAATGCCTTTTGGCTTACGGAACGCTGCCCAAACCTTCCAGCGTTTTATATATGACGTTTTGCGCGGGCTTGATTTCGCCTTTGCCTATCTGGACGATATCTTGGTAGCTAGTCCAGATGAAGCCACTCATCAACTTCATTTGCAGACAGTTTTCCGAAGACTTGTGACACACTCCCTCACACTCAACTTGCCGAAGTGTCAGATTGGAGTCACTTCCCTGAATTTTTTGGGACATAGGATAGACAAAGATGGAATTTATCCGTTACCTGACCGGGTAGAAGCTATTCAAAACTTCCCTCTACCCACTTCTCCCAAGGCACTACGCACTTTTCTCGGGATGGTTAGTTACTACCGTCGCTTTATCCCACAGTGTGCTCATATCGTGACCCCCTTGACTGATATGCTTAAAGGGAAATGCAAGTCTTTGGTGTTCACTAAGGAAGCCTCGACAGCTTTTGCAGCTATCAAGAAAGCTATTGCTGACGCCACAATGTTGGTCCATCTAGATGTTCAACTTCCAATCAGCATCTCCGTAGATGCCTCTAATACTGCGATCGGAGCCGTCCTACAACAGCGTATGTCTAATGTATGGCTACCGATTGCTTTCTTTTCACGTAAACTTACCGCATGCGAATCTCGATACAGCACATTCGGTAGGGAACTTCTCGCTGTCTACGCTGCTGTCAAGCATTTTCGTCACTTCGTGGAAGGCCGGCAATTTACGGTATTTACCGACCATAAGCCATTGACGTACGCCCTCCACACTACTTCAGACCGGTATTCACCGCGAGAATCACGCCATTTAGACTATATTTCCCAGTTCACTTCTGATATCCAGCACGTTTCTGGATCGGATAACGCGGTAGCAGACGCTTTGTCTCGCGTATGTGCTACGTCCGTACCACCAACCATCGATCTTCATAAAATGGCCGAACTCCAACTGAACGATTTGAACTTAGAACACCTGTCAAATAAAACCTCACTGAAGATAGAACGCGTTCCCTTGCTAAACAGTGAGGCAACTATACTTTGCGATATGTCAACTGGTACTCCTCGACCGATTGTTCCCACGTCTTTACGCCGAACTGTGTTTGAGTCACTCCACAACCTCTCCCATCCTGGCATACGAGCAACGGACAAGTTGATTTCTGCGAGATTTGCGTGGCCCGGTATGAACCGTGATGTGCGTCAATGGACACGTGCTTGTGTGCAATGCCAACGTGCTAAAGTCACCAAGCATAACATCACGCCGTTGGGGACGTTTGCGACCCCAGACGCTCGGTTCCATCATATCCACCTGGATATAGTAGGGCCTCTGCCCCCGTCTAACGGCTGCTCGTATTTACTCACATGTGTGGATCGTTTCACACGTTGGCCGGAAGCCATTCCGATACCAGATGTAACGGCTCAAACCGTCTGTCGTGCCTTCATGGAAGGCTGGGTTGCCCATTTTGGATGTCCCGCAACTGTCACTACCGACCGCGGACAACAATTTGAATCCACAAGCTTCAAAGAATTGTTAGAGATGCTGGGATGCAAACGCATTCGCACAACCGCGTATCATCCCGCGGCAAATGGCCTAGTAGAACGTTTCCACCGTCAACTCAAAGCTGCGTTGATGGCAGTGGACAACAGTAAGTGGACAGATTCGCTACCACTGGTCCTGCTTAGCATCCGGGCTACGCTTAAGGGGGATCTGCAGTGCTCGCCAGCTGAATTGGTGTACGGTACCACCATGCGTTTACCAGGCGAGCTAATCGCTCCCGAAACTTTCGAGCCAAATTTCCCGATACCACCCGTTACGCTCAGCAACTTAAAAGTTTTATGCAGCGACTCCGACCAGTTTCCACACGCACTCAGAACCGAAAGGTTCAGGTTGATCGGCGACTTGATGACTGTACACACGTTTTCGTGCGTCACGACGCCATACGAAAGCCATTACAACCACCGTATGACGGGCCTTTTAAGGTCCTTAGTCGTAAAGATAAATTTTTCGTTATTGACCGATGCGGCCGCCCAGACACTGTCAGCATAGACAGACTTAAAGCGGCATACACTGAAGAACCTTCACCCTCCCCATCGGCTCAATCAAATAGCCCCACTGAACCTAGTCCTTGTCCAGACTCAACTACCTCACCTCCAGTGGCGAATGATGATTCTCCTACCGTCACCAGTAAGACCCCTGTCACACGTGCTGGTCGACGTG